TGAATACATTCAGTTTAACTCCTTTATATTTGCTACTTCAGATTATGAGTATTTTTATTACTTATGTATATATATGACCATCTCTACTGGATCCCATATATACCTATCAGTAGAAAACAGTAGACAACAACTGGTCTGGTCTCGACTGTGAAAAAAACATAAAATTAAGGTCTCTTTTTCCTTTTGTAACTACCTGCAAATACTTGTAAAACAAATCCTGCCCTAAAACTCTAACTGATGCCTACAAATATCATGAGTTGAACTGCTTCGCTGAAGTCAGATGTTAGAGACCAAACAGCCAACACTCAGAAGCTACTCGCACTAGAGGTTTTGCATATTTGGAGGGAGAGACCGAAACTCAACACACGCAATGAATTCAGGAGCCGGGAATTAACATTAGAATTATACTCCATGTATAACATGGCTAAAATTCAAAAAACTGACATATCAGAATTGGAAAATATTCCCAAATTGAAATTTTATAGCAATGAAAGAACAAAAAACTAAAAAATCTCAGAAATTTACAGGAAAATGTTATTGATGGTTACGTAATTTATTATGAAATTACAGTTGTTTAAATTTGATTGGTCAAAAAAATTTGAGAGCATTTTTAAACATGATTCTCATTTTTTCAGACCTTTGATTGTTTAGTAAAGATTGTAACGAAACCATTAATCCTGATGATGCACAAAATGTGCGAAAATGATTGAATTAACATTTTAAAATTCTTATATACAGAATGAGAGTGTCGAAACATTGAAATACTAAAAAGTATTCTAGATAGGGATCACAGCAGCTTTGTTCCGCTAATATTTGCGTGTACTCGAGGAGCTGCTACAGGCTCTACAAATAATTTCCAGAAACTAGCAGAGAAATTAAGCAAAACGAATCGTACTCCGACACAATAAACTTCATAATAACCAAAATAAGTTTTGTACTTCTGCGGAGTGCAATCCTCAGCCTCAGGGGGTGCAAAAAACTTACGAATGTAGACAAATAGACAATTCCATCAGGGAGGAGGAAGAAGAGCCGATCGAAGGTATCTGACAGCAGCCAGTTGTCAATAGCGATTTTTCTACATTCTTTTGCTGAGTATTTTCTGAGCAAAATTACAGTTATCGATTTTACCTCATTAGCCTAATTGCTATGATAAACTTATTAAATTGATTTGTTATCTTTGATGTTTGTGCCTGGTTGTGGAGCGCCCTGTAGGGGATTTCAGAGACAGGTCTGTCAAGTGGCTTTCTGTGGGGAGGTGGGAAACTGGAACTGGCTTGAAGAGTCTGATGGTGCACCGCTGGACCTACTGAGCTCGGGTGAGAGTGTTCCTTGTGTTTGATTTTTGTAATTCGTTTTTAAAATTTAAATTAATTTAATTGTCTTTTTTTAATTGCTAATTTATAAAATTCCCACTAACCGCTTATCATGGGTTAGTTCAGTCCCCTAACGTCCAGTCAAAATCCTCCTTTTTACCTTTATCCTTAGTGAAGATGAGAAAAAACAACAAAGAGTGTACAAGCAAATATTGATTAAAACCTTCAGGAATGATAAACTGGATTGGATGTGATTGTTGTTCTAGTTGGTATCATATCAGTTGTGTAAATATTTCTCTTAGCGACTCTAAGAAATTCCAATTCAGCGTCCTTTATGCGTTGATGTAAAATCTGTTAATAAAGCAGCAATGGTAAGGATTTAGTGCTAGACAATTATTTTAATACAGCCATCTCAAATGTCCGAGTACTCAAGAGAATACCAAAAAACTCGCGTGTTCCCTTGGCGGAAAGTCTGTCGGACAAAATAAATGACATCGTCTACAATGTAGAAGATGTTACAAAATGGCTCATTTTTTTGACGTCGTTCTTGTTTTTTTTTTGGAGCAACCGAAAAGAAGTGGACGCAAACAGACCACAAGCATGAGCTCTTTGATAAATAAAAAAATTCGAGCAAATGACGTGTCACTTCCAAAACCTCATTCCCAAGTTTCAAGCCCGCCTCTGAGTGACCTCAAGCAGAGAATAAAGCTAATAAGTAGTAAGCTTGATGAAAGAAATGTGAAGGGAGGAATAAGGCTTGCTGCTTCGGATGACAAAATTGCTTCTTTTTCACTTGATAATTATCAAAAATTGTTGTCTAAGCACGCTCAGCGAGCCAAATTTGCAGCTCCAAATCCAGAAAATTTAGTTAGATTTTTCGTAACCGATTTCGACCTATGCAAAGCGATAATGTCCTTTCCGAACGGATCATCAGCAGGTCCTGATAAAATAGTTCCTCAAAATTTTAAAGATCTTTTTAGTATGTCGAATGGCAGGCAAGGACCTAATTATCTGAAATCGCTTACTAAGCTGAAAAACCTCATTTGAGATAGCAAAATACCCGAACCCCTAAGACCTTTCTTTTTTGGCGCAAAGCTGATCACCCTCATAAAATTAAACGGAGGGTTGAGACCGATTGCCATAGGCAACACGCTGAGACGTATCGCGTCTAAATGCGCTGGAAGCAAGGCCCTTTCCGAGCTACAAAATTTTTTCGGAATTGTACAGGTAGGATGCCGTACCAAACGAGGAGCAGAAATAATTGTACACTCGTTTCGAAACCTAATTGAACACGACGACAATCCAAAAAGCACTGTTCTTTTAAAACTAGATTTTAGAAATGCCTTTAACCCTCTAAAAAGAGAAACAATGCTGAATCATGTATATTCAAATCGCGCCGAGTTAAATAATTACACCCATTGCGCGTAAAGTGAACCTAGTTACTTTTTTTTACGGAAGCTCGGTCATAATGTCAGAAGACGGAGCTTGGCGGCAAGGTGATCCTGAAGCCCCACCCCTTTTTGCGGGAACAATTCAGACACTAGTCAAACAGTTGGAGTCGAAAATTAACATCTGGTATTTCGATGATGGAAAATTAGCAGACGACTATAAGGTAGTACTCCGGGTCCTTAAAAAAATCCTGAAATCGGAACAAATTTACGGCCTGAGCTTGAACACTAAGAAATGTGAACTTGATTTTTTGGGACTGACTACGAGTACACAGTATAATTCAATTTTAACACAATTTCGAAAAATATTCCCCGAAAAAAAATTTAAAAAAACACAAGAAGAACTCCTCACTTAGGGATCTCTAATGATTTAGTGATTGTTTCCGGCATAATTGAGGAGGCACAAGAAAATTTTGAGGCTCTGAATCAGAAAGTTCAAACTGAAGGGATGGAGATATCATTAAGTAAAACCGAGATGATTGTAGTGAAAGGAGAAGGATCAATTCATATCTATCTTATTGGCAAAAAACAAAGGAATGAAACATCTTTGTGTACCTGGGCAGCTCGCTAAATGGGGAAGGAGACATTGGCGAAGCAATAGCACACAATTTCAGTAAAGCTGGAACAGCAATTGTGAGATTGAGGCCAGCTCTAGTCAGCGGCTCAATCAGAACTCCTCAATTTAGGATCTCCAATCGGCAAAGGTTGCCGGAAAGAATTGCTCGACGAAAAAATTAAGGAGCTTGAAAAAATCTCGGATGTCATTGACAAACTAGACGTCCATCATGAGTTTTACCTCCTAAAAAATTGCTTTAGCATGCCAAAACTTCTATATTTTAACAATTACGAGCCCTTGTTTTTTGCAAAATGATTTTTTGGAACGCTAGGAGAAATTAATAAGAAATTTGTTATGCAAGGTCACTAATGTGAAAATGGATTATAACCAGTTTTTACAAGCAGTTCTTCCGGCAGCCAAAGGTGGCTTAGGCTTTTCTTCCGCTGGTCTACTCGCTTTACCCGCTTTCTTAGCCTCAGCAGTAGGAGCAAAAAATGCCTTGAGCGAAATCTTTGTTTGGAGCATGTGGATGAATCCTATGATGATGCGCTAAAACGGTGGTTTGAACTTGGAAAAATTGAAATGGCTCCGGAAAATGAAATCCAAAAAAATTGGACAGAGCCAATTTTTGACAGCGAAACTGCAGACTAGATTTTAAGACTCGAGGCAACGGACGTAAAAAGATTCAACGCGTTCCAAGTTAGATTTGGCTTCCAATAGTTGAATGTTATCCGGTGCAAAAATTGAAGTTTAAAACTGTCGAACCAACAACTCAGAATTGCGATAGGACTTCGATTACGCTCAAAAGTTTGCGAACGGCATAAATGCGTGTGCGGAAAAGACGTTACCGAGGATAGTTGGCATGGTCCTTCTTGCATCAAAAGTGCAGGGAGATTCTCTAGGCATTCAAACCTGAATGCCCTTATAAAGCAGAGTTGAACCACGACACCTCTACAGGACCGATCAGAAGCGACCAGATGATTTGACGCTCGTTCCATGGGCTGTTGGTAAGCAGCTCTTGTGGGATGAAATGGAACACTTGTATATTATTATTTCTCGTGTCGATTTGCGTGTTCTTATTGAAGAAACCTAACCCGTATCGCTTTTAATTGAAAAAGACTTCAACACTTGTCATCTTCTTTTAGCATTATCACTTTCATATCTAGAAAATTCCAAGGAGTTCGACTGGAATACGTGATGAAGGGACTCCTGAGTGTAACCTCGGTTACTATGATACTTTTGACCTTCTGATTATTTAAAATTTACCTCATTATCTTGCGAACATAAGGATAAACTCGTTGATTATTTTTATGGATAGAAATTAAGGATATAGATCCAGAATCGAAAAATTCTGGCTAAAACAAAAAATTTTGAATTAACTTACATGTTGACATGAAAATTAGCGACAAAACGATATTGAAAAACAAAAATAGTGAAAACTCTCAGAAATTTGTGACAAAATGTTTAAAATTGTTACATAATAGTTTTTACATAATTTCAGTAGTATTTGTAAAGTTTTGATTGGTTGAAATTTTTAAATTTTGAAATAATGATGTGTATGACATTTTTTATGATCTTTGATCATTTTGTACAGATAGTTTAGAATTTTTAAAACCTGAAGATGCACAAGAATGTGCGAAAACGTTTGTTTGAATTTACAATTTTAACGCATTTTAGCCTAACTGTTGTGATAAACTTATTAAATAGTTTCATATATGTGAATGTGACACCTACGCAAAATGCAGCAACAGCAACCAACGGTCACTGAAGATGAAGTAGATCAGACTCACTGCAGCGTGTGTTCAAAGCATCTACGGGGCGGAGGAGTCTGGTGTAGCATTTGCGGCTTTGTTCACCTCAAGCACACTCCCCTACCGAGTTCTAAACACTGGAAGCCAGGCTTGATCTGCAACCGCTGCCTACCGGATTCAGTTGTCTTGGCTGATGATATCCCTCCACAGGACTTGACTCATACTGGTAGCGCGCCCCAGCACCAGTCTAGCGGCCTTTCTCAACTAATGGGAGATCTCAGAATAGAGAACGTCCCTCCCGATTCCGAGGCTTCCACCTATCTCCGCAAGCTGTTCTCCGCTAAAGTCCCCATACTCAAACGTGTCCCGAAAGGAGCAAGAGTCAACTTAGCCTGTCTCTATAGCGAAGTTATCATCGATATCTCCAAACACCCTGACGAAGTTTCCAATTGGCTGAAGCTTATGAGTATCCCCGCCCACTGTCTGAAGGCGACTGACAGAGGGGGGAAAACACCGAACAAACCTCACCAGTTCAGTCAACTCAGCTATAAGATCTTTTTCCGGCACAGCTGAGATTCCGGAGCAGCCGAAAAAAAAGGCGAAGCCGAAAAAGGAAACTGAGAGTCTCAGGAGAAGGGTCCAAGAGAAAATTGATGATGGCAATATCCGAGGCGCCATAAGGATAGCTTCAGGCAATGACACGATGCCTGAAATTACAACCAAAATTGTAAATGAGATGGAAGAAAAACACCCCGGCACAAGTTCGCCTATGCTGTTCAGGGAAACAAAGAACAAGAATGTATCAATACTGTGGGTTCTACGGTTCACTCTTGTATAAATTCTTTCCCGAACGGCTCAGCCGGTGGGCCTGATAAATTGAGGCCTCAAATTATCAAAGACATGATTGGAATGTGTAACAAAACATCAAAAAAACTTTTGAAGACCTGACCGGGCTCACAAATATCATCTTGAGCGGTGGTGTACCGATTGATATCAGACCTTTCTTTTTCGAGGCAAATTTGTTTGCATTCAAAAAACCTTCTTCCGGCGTTCGGCCCATAGCAGTCGGCAACACACTTCGCAGATTGGCAGCGAAATGTGCCGGCAAAGACCACGAACTATTAGAACAAAGAAAATGTTCATATGGATTTACTCAACTGGGCTTCGGCACCAAAAATGGATGTGAGGCGGCAGTCCATGCCACCCGCAAATTCCTATCTTCTCCAGACAACAGCGATGAACATGTTCTAGTCAAAATTGATTTCGAAAATGCTTTCAACTCAATCTCAAGGCAACACATGCTGGAAAACATTAGCGAAAAGTACCCTCGCCTGAAAAATTTTGCGTTCTCAGCCTATAGCCAACCCTCCTATCTGTTCTTTGGATCTCATATTCTGAACTCAGATGAAGGAGCTCAACAAGGAGACCCGGAGGGGCCGCCCATGTTCTGTGACACGATTAACGACATGATTCATTGGCTGACTTCTGCTCTTAACTTCTGGTATCTGGACGATGGGAATCTTGCTGATAAGTTCTGGGTAGTTTTCGAGGACTTGAAACTGGTGATAGAGCGCGCTCGTATGCTTGGCCTGAAAGTTAAGCCTTCGAAATGTGAGCTAACTTTCCTAGGTTCCTCGAGTGAAGAGCTCAAACTCGAAATACTGCAACTATTCAACACGATCTGCCCTTCTATACAAGAGACTCCACTGGATGACCTATGCATCCTTGGTGCAGGCATGGGTGCTGACTGTGTCCTTGACAAATTGACCAAACGTTCTAAAGATCTTGAGCGAACGCCTGGTCGAAATCGAGGCACACTCGGCGCTTTTTCTTTTGAAAAACTCGTTCAGTATACCGAAACTGACATTTCTGCTCTGAACGTCACCGTGCTTCATGCACCCCCGACATACTCTCCAACTATGATTCCATTCTGACCTCAACACTGGAAAAAATCACCAATGTTCAACTTACAGATTTTTCTCGCATCCAAGCCTGTCTGCCTGTTAAAGTGGGTGGCCTGGGTCTGCCATCTGCGTCATTGCTTGCGACTTCCTTATTTCTATCCTCCGCGAGCTCTTGCGCTGCTTTGTCAGACCAAATCTCAACTTGTACCGGACCAACAGGCGACGAAGAAACTGCTCTGGAACTCTGGGGTGATACTGCACAAGCACTTCCACCAACTAGTAGATTCACCCAAAAGAATTGGACTTGGCCAGTATTCGAGAACCTAAAAACCTCGATGCTTGAGAACTGTTCATTGACAGACCACAATAGAATAGAAGCTTACTCTGGAAAGATGGCGGGAAGCTGGCTGCAGGCTCTGCCATCATCCAACTTGGGCTTGAAACTCACAGATATCCAACTCCGCATCAGTGTGGCACTGCGTTTAGGCGGCAAAGTGTGCGAACCCCACCAATGCCGATACGGTAAAGAAGTCTCTGAAGATGGCCACCATGGTTTGGCTTGCAAAATGAGCGCCGGCCGTCATACTCGTCACTAAATGTTGAATGACATAGTGAAGAGGGGTCTTGCCAGCGCCAACATACACTCGGTATTAGAACCCCCTGGACTTCGCCGCGCAGATCGGCAAAGGCCGGATGGGCTCACGTCTACACCTTGGTCCAGAGGCCAACCAATGGTATGGGATGCCACGGTCGTGGACGCATTGTGCAGTAGTAGAATTTACTCATTCGAGCCCCTGAAAGCAGCGACTACAGCAGAGGAGACGAAAAGAATGAAATACACTGAAATCATCAACAGAGGCTACTTGTTTCAGCCTGTCGCATTCGAAATACAAGGAGGCGCAGGACCAGAAACCAAACGTTTTCTTTCTAAGCTCGGCAAGCTGATTCAAGATTCCACCAACGAAGCCCGTGCTTCTGCCTTCCTTAGATATACAGATGTCTGTTTGCATACAGATGTCTATCGCAGCATGTGTCATCGGAACTCTACGCCCTCAAGCTTCTCTCGATGAAGTTTTTATGATCCTCTAATTCTCTGTCACCTTGTATCTCACTTTCTGCGAATTTCTTATCATGTCATTGCCAACATCCGGCCTTTTTATTTGATAGATTTCCCATATGGTGCACTCTTTCACTCCCGGTGCTATCTTGGTTTCATGCTTCAGTTGTTGTTTTGCTATTTGAAATAAATTTTTCAAAAAAATTTATAGATAGAAATGTGAAGACTAGAATGCACGCCAACGATGATGATAACGAGCTTTTGCGTATTCAATTAGAAGGAGAGGAACTAGAAAAAAAGAACATCGACAATGAAAAGATTCAGCATGAGCGCGACAACCGTGGGGTACCAATTAAAAGAGACGAGGATGGGACTGTGTTTGAGTGGGACCAATCACTTAAAGGCTGGTTTCCAAAAGTAGACTCAGCGTTCTTGGCTGCATACAGACTGTCATATGGCGATTCCAATGATGCGATTAAAACTGAAGGTGGAAGTATTGAGAGGTCAACTCAACGTGGAATCGATCAAGTTAGATATGTACATCCAGAGACCAGAAATGTGTATGAGTGGAATGACGTTAAATACCTGTGGATAAATGTAAAAGATGAAACGGATACTATGGCTCCCAATGTCGAATCAAATAACTCACAAAAATACACAGACCCTTCTACGAATGTTGAGTACATTTGGAGTGCATCTATGACTCAATGGGTCGCTGAAACTTATGTGGATCACTTAACAGGTTTATCATTTACCTGGGATGATGGCAAGCAAGAATACGTGGTTGCAGGCGAGCTGAAAAAATTTGCTGACTCCAAAAATTCCGATGAGTTAAAGAATGAAAAACCATCAGAAAGTTGTAGCCAAGGTTTGAGAGCGCCCGGAGCAATTGAAAAAGAGCAAAACCAAATCCCAAAAAGAAAAAGAAAAGAACCAGAATGGTTCAATATAGACGAAAATCAGAATTCGAATGTTTATGTTTACGGACTACCACTTGATATGAGCCAAGAAGAGTTTGAAACACTGATGAACAAGTATGGCATAATCATGACTGATCCAGATACGGGAAAGCCCAAAGTAAAGTTATATCAAAATCCTGATGGAACCATGAAGGGCGACGGTCGTTGTTGCTACTTAAAAGTGGAGTCAGTTGAATTAGCTTTAAAATTACTTGACGGGCTCGATTACCGCGGTGGCCGCAAAATTGGGGTCCACAGAGCCCAATTCAAGCTTAAGGGGGAGTTTGATCCCACGAAAAAGAAGAAAAAGCGTACCAAAAAGAAAAAAGGCAAAGCAACTCAAGAAAAATTGTTAGATTGGAGACCAGAAGCGAATCGATTGGTTGCTAATCGAAAAAGATGTGAGAAGGTAGCTGTTTTGAAAAACGTGTTTGATGCGAGATCCTTGATGAAAGACGTAAAACAAATCCCCGCGCTGCAGAAAAAAGTCAATCAGGCTTGCAGTCGGTTTGGGGCGATCAAAAAAGTTTGTATATTTGACCTCCATGATGAAGGTGTAGCATCGATCGCTTTCAGAGATTGGGACTCAGCAGATATGTGTGTATCACAACTAGACAATAGGCAGTTCCTAGGGCGAAAAATAACAGCGGAACTGTGGGATGGGGTCACAAATTACAAAATAGTGGAGACAGAAGAGCAAGAGCGGGCACGAATTGAAAGGTGGGAGAAAGAGTTATCTGGTGATTGGTCAACTCCAGCGCAAGAATCGAAGAGCGAAAAGCCATTAGCTGAAAGTTTACAAGATAGCACGTTGGAAGAAATGTTGGGGCTAGATCGAGACAGTGACGATCAAGATGAGGCCGAGGATGAATACGAAGAAGCTAAAATGAAAGAAATAATGGCTAATTTAGCATCCGGCGGCGAAATATTTGGCAGTGTTCAGTCAAAAATGATGTCGGAAAGCACCACAAAAGAAAACAGCAGCTGATTGAGGCAAGGTTGATATTATCAAGCAATAGTTGTTAGCTTAATTTTGTTTTGCTCTATATTAAATTAATTTCAAAAACTGCTTGTATTTTGTTCCGAAGTCAGAAATTATGAGATAGTTTGCAGGCGATTTCGACTATCTTAAAAAAAGCTCGTAGGGGCTAAAATGAGGTATCATGTTAAAGCCCATCCAGATGTGACAAAAAAGTTCAAAAAATCCGTTTGGAATAAGCGAGTGTTATCCAATCGGAAACTAGAATTTTTCCAGATTGTCAATTTGGTGTCCTACAATTGAATAACAAAGAATTTTTTGCCATACTTTTACTACCTAGTCGTTTCACTACCAAACCATTTAAATCCCAACAATTTTACTCCATTTATAATTTAACACCAAAATTAATGTTTTATGAATTCCTTATCTTAACTCCTATCACGCCAAGTTATCCCTGCAGTAAACACACGCATAACATTGAAGAGTTTGGTTATCTCAGTTATTCTTGCTAAAATGGGGCTTCCTTAATTACTTAAGACACATGTTTAAGAAGTCCCTATTTGAGAAGTTTAAGCTATTTCGACGTATTATTTTTTGAATGTTTAACAAAAGAATTTTCACTTGGCTCATGCTTGAGAAGTCCTTATGTTGGTCTGTTAAAGAGTCGAAACCTTACAAGGGTTGAAATGTTTACTCAAGTCGTTTCAAAATCTGTTGGAGCGCGAATGGTTTAGCTCTTCATTTTTTCCCATATTCGGTGAAGTTTTTGTTTCACAGTTTGCCTTAATAAATTTGAAATTCTCAACCCTATAGAGGGGCGCTGTTGCGATACACTCAGGGGTTACAAATCTGGCATCTAAGTATGTCTGCTCAAATTCTTTTGATTTTCGAGATATTTTTTTAAATGATTTTCAATTTCACTAAACCAGCATGATCACTAAAATTTTTTGCTTGTGCTAATTCATAATATTTTGACAGTCATTTTAGGCTCAACCCAATTGTGTCATAAATAAACTTCTTTCGAATTCATAGTTTCATCTTTAAGAAAAAAAAAACAATTCTTATAGCGTCGGTCCACGAATTTTTTTTCCAGCGAAGACATAATGTTGCCGAAAACTGGATTTTCTCGAAATACTACACACATAAATGTCGAGAATCGGCTATTACAGAAAATAACGAATTGATTGAGACGCGTGGATAGCAAAATCATATGCTCGAATTGTCATCAAGCATTTAGTCACAGAACGTTCAATTAACTTAGGGCTTTGAAGTTCGATGATTAATTGCTTGTTTTTGGTTTCAGTCATTTCGATTCAAAAGTTACGCGAATTAAATAGCGCGAAATTGTCTGGCTTTAAATCACAAAAACTTTTATCGCCATGTTCTTTGATTTTTACAGAAAACCCCTTCGAAGTAAATTTTGTTTTCATTTTGGACAAAAACGCTTTTAAGTTATAAAAGTGGCTTGAAAATGTTGTGATTTGAATTGCTAAGTAACAAAAAGTGTAGGTAATGAAACTGAATGATGCTAAGTTGTTTAAGCGCTTAGAAAGGTGAGAACCGTTAATTTGTCTAACAGAATTCTGAATCAGTTTCTCAAATCTACTTTCGTCAATCAACAGACATGGTTTAACATGTCTTTAGTTTCCCTTATTTTCGAATTAGCTTATGTTATACTGGCTTTGTGGCTTTACATTGCGTTGTTATCTATTTAAAGAAGTGTTTATAGAGAGTATGTTTAGAGGGGACTAGAGCTTTTAGGCTTTTTAATGGCAACAATTTTATTATAGCTTAATGGGTGTCTGCTCAAGTGTTGTCGGCTTTGCTAACCCTTCGGATGTTTTTTTTTCAGATGGTTATTTGTTTGGCAGGGTTTTCTTCAAAAAATATTTATCATGACGCAGTTTAGAAGATTTATTTGCAATTAAAAAAAATTGACTATGTTTTTCGTCTTTTTTGCTTTTGGATGATTTTTCGTGCTATGTTTGTATTGTATTGCAAGTGGTGCAAAGCTCCGCGTCACCTTTGTGTTGAATTTCTTCATAATCAGGGTGGTCGGAACTATCTTAGCTACTAGCAATGTAATCGGCTATCCTTGATTGTCTTGTTTAAGTAGAGTATAAATGCTTTAAACTAAACCATTGAAAAGATGTAGTTTTGGAAACGGCTAGTTAGAAAATATCTTGAGCAGTTTTCTCTGTGGAAAGGGACTTTTGATGGGGCGCGTTATTTTTTCACTGAACAACAGGCGTCGATATAGGATTTTCACTAGGAGCTAGTAGTGGTTTTAAAAGTGGCTTGAAAATGTTGTGATTTGAATTGCTAAGTAACAAAAAGTGTAGGTAATGAAACTGAATGATGCTAAGTTGTTTAAGCGCTTAGAAAGGTGAGAACCGTTAATTTGTCTAACAGAATTCTGAATCAGTTTCTCAAATCTACTTTCGTCAATCAACAGACATGGTTTAAATCGGCAATAGGCAAAGCCGCTCTAGCTTAATACAACCCTGGTCGATGAAAACAAAAAGAAGTTGGGAGAGAAAATTGAGTGTTGAATTTAGCTCGTAGCATTGGAAGATGTGGTGGGGCATCGAACTTTTCAAACGGATCTACGAAGCAGAGGAAATAACGAGAGACATGCTCAGGTGCACTTTTATTTCACGATGAAAGCAGAAGCGACCGAATGCGAGAACTTGAGGATGATTTCACTGATGACGATAGCAAGTGACTTGTAATCGGGAACAATGACTGTTTTCCCTTTAACAACTTTTCTTTCAAATATTATTTTCTTTCTTTCTTGCTTTGTTAGTGAACCTTATCATGAGGCTACTTCCGACTTGGCCTAGACGTAACGCGGTTGCGATATACTATATGATCTGGGGTTCGAGTCTCGGCGTAGCCTTCTTTTGTTTTTCAAAATGTATGTAATTGAAAACAATTCCGGTAAAAACTGAATTGCCGGAATTTTGTTTAAAAATTTGTGGCTTTAAAACATTTTTGTGGCTTTTTCATTGTTTTCGGCTCAGTGGGTTGGTTGGTTGGTTTCTTGACGGCCTGCTTTAAAGATCCAAAGGGCTGAGAAGCCCCACACTTCTAAGATAGTTCAGGATGTTATAGGACCGGTGTTGAAAGTCGGTTAGACTGGACGAACTTCACTGATGTTCTTTTTTTTCAGCGTTTCTTTCGGTGCATCGAGGTGTTCTGTGTCTTCAGTTTCGAGCTGACAGTGCAGGCACGTGCTTTCTTCTTCAAGACCGAAACAGTGCTCGTGTTTTTGTAGTCGAGTGAACCTGTTGAGGGTTGCTCAGTGGGCGTCTACCTACTTGTTATCGGTTTTGTGACCGCTCGGTATTTACTAAAAGCCTATTTAATACTGGTGGTTGTGTTTCGACTGTTTTGTCTGAAATGATTTACCTTTTTCCTCCATAATTGTTTCCGATTATTATACTTGCACTAATGCTTCGCTACTAGCTGGGTGGGTACTAGTTCCTACAGTAGTTTCAGGGGGACTTGAAAATCTTTAATTTTTCTACAAAATCCTTTTTTTTTCGGTTCAACTGGTGTCTGCTCAAAGATTGTCAGCCTTTTTTCCGCTTCGTAAAACTTCAGTCGCTATGTTGAATTTCAAATGACTTGCTTGGCATGTTTGCTCGGATTTCTTGTTCGATAAAACTATGGAAGTTTTTGGGAGCGGCTTGTTTTTGAGACGCTTTTGAAATTTTTATCACTTTTCGCATAAAGTTCAGCGTTTTCTCATAAACCCTTGTACCGATTTTCACAAAAGTGATATCCATAGAAAGAACACCTATATTTTTGTGTGCCTGCATACTCCCCTGGTCTCTTGTTGCATTACCACTTTGTCTACAGCCTTCGATAAAGTCTGTGGGGAATATTTGACAGTTATTTTTTTTGTTTTCTCTTAAACTGACCAAATCTGAGATATTTGTTGCAATGAATAGAGAGGATTCGGAAACCTACCCTGAATTAGTAGCTATGCCCAAAATTTTTACCCATAATATTTTGGCCCTCAGAATACTGATTTTAAGAAAAATGTTTGACTGTTTTTGTATCTTTTTGACTTTTCTCGAAAACTAACCTCTCATACTGGAGGTTGTGAGATCAATCGAGATGACGGGTATTGAGAAGCTCCCCATGCATACACCATTTTGCACAAAAAGTTATCGTCCTCTGAAAGGTCAGTTTTTTGTGGTTTCAGCGTTTTCTAAATTTTACCGAAAATTACCCTCACATATTGGAGATTTTCTGTTCAATCCACGGCACGGGTTGTGTGAAGCTCTTTTGCATACGCGAGTAGGCCCAAGTTTATTGACACAAAAATATATGTCCCTCGGAAAAGTTTAACTTTTGATTTTTTGACCGTGTTTTGAAACTCTTCTCGAGAAGTAACCTGCCAAACCTGGGTTATTGAGTTCAATCGAAATAACAGGTTGGACGAATCTTATCTGCATAAACGGCTACGCGCAAACTTTTTTAAAAAGCTACGGTTCTTGGAAATGTAATTATCCGATTTGTTGACCGTTTTTGGACTTTTCCCGATATGTGATCTGATATCCTAGGTTTAATCGACACAACAGGTTGTTGGAAGTTTACTTTTGTAATTCACTACCCCTCTGAATTGCAAAAAAACTAAAAAAAAAAACGTTAATAGAATTTTTAATTTTTCATGACCACAATTTTTTTCGGCTTTTTGTTTTTTCTGTTTGTTCCGCTTAATAGGTTTCGGCTTTTATAAAATCGGCCAAGTGTCTCATATTGCGCAAAATCTTTCGACTAGCGAAAAGATTTTGTATATACGTGTGTGTGTTTTGAGAGTGAAGGGACTTTATAACTTTTCTTTGACATAATTTGAAAAGAAAATTTTAAATATGTATTTTTTTTGGTCTAATTGGTTTTGGCCTATAATATATCTGTGCTTAGTGACCTCATGTTGTTTCATTTGATAAGCAAATATTGTTTTGTGTGTTTTTTTGTTTTGATGAGTTGGACTTAATAATTTGTTATTATGTCTTGCTGATTTCTTTCGGCTCAAAGGTTTCTGTAAAGGTATTTTCGTCGTTGTTACCGCCTAGTAA